CAATTTTCATTTTGGGGCGAAATAACGAAGAAGTTTCAACATGGAATGTGCTTTTGAATAAGAACAATCCTCAATCATGACCAACCTGCATCGCTGATCATCACCAGTGGATACTTTGCATTTCGATAAGGCCGGCATCATATTGCTGATTTTGGGATTCAATCCGACATCTTCACCTCCTGGAAACGTTACTTTAAGTTTGCGTACAAAATTGGACTTCCGCAAGAAAAGGGTGCGAAATGTATAAAAATCGTTGCGACAACTAACCATAAAATATCCTCGCATCGACGGCAGGATATCTGTCCATGAGTTGCTTGACAATGCCCACAGCTGGATCATGCCTTTCTTTCACACAAAACAACAATTCGAACTGAAATAAATTTCATAAATCGCAAAAAAAATCAGTTTAAGCGGCAGGCTTCACAACATCGCTAAGAACTCACTTTAGGGAATTTCATTGTGAAAAACGACTGTAAATTAGCTTTCAAGTGTTTGTCCACTCCTAACAGCGGCTTAAGAACTGATACTCCAGGGGCATCTGGATCAAAATCGACCGTTCGGTGTAGTCGATATTTGCTGGAATCGAAATCATAAAAGTCAAACAGTCAACAAAATAACAACTTGGCTTCATACTTGTAAATAGGGAATTCGAAATTGGTTCATCAAACCATTTCCATGGAAACCCAAACATCTATACTAGTTGCCTTCATCTACATTTTATCACTGTTACATGAAAACTAAAAAGTACCAAGAAGCTACCCATTTCATTTCAAAAGATCTGCGCTTGCTCTCTAGTTAGAGTAGCTATTATAACAAGCTACTTTCACAGTGACCGAGGTAAAGAACGATTGGTCGATATGAAGAATGAATCAGAAGTGAGGGAATGGCTGGGATGAAACGATTGAGAGAGAGCAAGAACCACCAGAAAGGGTGGGAAGTCGTTTTGCCTTTCCAATTTCCAAGACTGCTAGAAACCTTGAGACTATCCCATTGAAAGTAAAGC